TAGTTGATCTTAATCTTGGGCTCAGTATCTAAGGATTTCACTGGATTAACACTACACTCAAGTCCCCTGTATTTCTTGAAAATATTTGAGGTGTCACAATAGTCCAAACCTTTTTAGCTCTCTGCTTTTTTTCCAGCTCAGTGGCAGACTGGCCTTCATTGACAAGAATTTGCCGTCAGGGATGTGGAATTGCTTGACTGTCTTGCTGACAGGAGGTCTCCGGTCAACGCCACTTGTTTGACTCCTGACTTTGCTCAGAGTGGCTTTTCTCCTCAGTCTTGTTTTTTTTTTTTTTGAAGCAGTGTCATGTGATGCACGTTTTTGAGGAATCCACTGTGCTACCAGATTCTAAAGGAAATTGCGAAAAGTTAACAGTATGAAAATACATTTACAATGTCTGTAAAACAAATATACTACACTATACTACATTCACCAGTGACGTGCCTGTTTTCATTTGTATTATAACTGTGGAGTGAAGTACAACAAAAGACACAATATTATGGCCCTTCTGGCATTGTTAACGTACTTGGGACCAGCGTGAATACAATTATGAATTTAAGGGTTATTTTCTCCAAATAAAGGTGTGTAGGTTATAAACGAGATAATAATCACAAAAATAATTTTAAATATTATTTTTCTTCATTCAATTTGTATCATTGAAAACATTTTAAACATTACTGAGATAAAATTCCCTGTGGCGATGACTGTTTTAATTGATACAGCTATTGTATTTTCCAAAATGAGAACTTTGGTATGATATATTAAACCCAAATAAATTTGTCTCGTAAGACTCAACATCACAATGTGGCAGTGCCTGCATCAAAACTACTGTCAGAGTTTTATAATATCAAGAATTTTGAAAAAGCATGATTTCAGTGAAAAATTGTAATTAACTTAGTGAGTTTCATCTTTGTAGTTACATGAATGGAAGTACTTCCAAGCTCTCAGAATAAAACAGTGAATTTATTGTGAAATTCATGCAATTTTTGCATCAAGCCTCAGAAAAATGTCTCAAACAATATGTGATGTGTGCTTTTGGGTTTGGGAAACAAAAGTTATAACCCACCTGCCCACCAGTTTTAAACTATGTTGTGATTCCATCATCTGACTTGGCAAGTTTCCTCTTCAGCATAGCTGTCCCAGTCTTTTCAGTCCTGGGTGTTAGGGGGTCGCTTGGAGAGGATATGAATAAAGAACACTCCACTGATGTCGGCGATGGAGACATTGTTGAGCATTGGTGACTGTTCTTTTCTGATCATACAAGCTTTGTGTGACATACATCGCACTCTACACATGCAAAGTTGAGTGTTTGCAAGAAACAGGCACTCACCCTTTGTACAAAAAGGAAGGGAACTTGGTCCTTGCATGCCGGGCATTCGATTGTCGGGTTCTCTGAGAACATGGGCCAAATGCATTCCAAGCTGAAGATATGCTGACATTCTGTCTGGACAGGGTTTACCAGAAATTGGGAACACACAGGGCATTTATAAACTGAACAAATCGGTGTTAAACCCTGCAAGGAAACAGGGGTAGCACAGGGATCAATTAGTGCAGTGAAATGATGGTCGGGTGTCATGACTGGTTGAAGTTTAGCAGCAGAGCCGACAAGTAAGTACCTTACGCGGTTCATCCACCTTTAGCTAGCTGGCGATAGTTGCTGCAGACCTCACATTTCTCTTGTTCTGATGCTGGGTGAGGTTTCCACTCATGTGGGACGCGTTTTATGCTGTTATTATGCTGTTAAGGCACTTCGTATTGCAGACCTTGTACATATGCCTTGGATGGACATCTTCCTTGTCTTTCGTATTCTGAAACTTTCTTAGAGGTTTTCTTCATCATCTCTTGCTGGCGACTTTGATGCTTTTTACCATAAAGCCTACAAAGCTTTTCTAGGTGCGTCAAGTGATTGCTGTACCAACTGGATCCAAGCGAAGCCATGTACTGGGTAACAGGTGTATTTCAATTTCATAGTCTGTGACGGCGCGTCAAGTTCAAATTTGCGAGGTTGAAAAACGCACGCCTATTGGTTAGGTAATATCTGTGGCTGGTGATCTATCAATTAATTATGTTCAATGACTTATTTAGTTTTAATTTTCACTTTTTGCCTTTTTGGGTAGCTAAAATAAACCCTTATTAAGATATTCTCCCAGTCTTGTTTCAGCTAACCAATGAAAGCAACGACTTGTTACGTGTTCTGCGTGAACAGCGGTTATTTAGGGTCTTCCAAAAATCTCAAACGTCAGACTTCTTGCCGGCTGAAAACTGACAATATATACTAACAAACTGAGGGCAAATATCTGTCGTTTGGGTGGTGTAAAACGTTTCTCTGGGAAAAGTGGAGATATATTTCAAACAAATGCGTGAAAATTTGCAAATGAGGGCATAATTTACACGTGATCTGACCGGTTCGATGTTCTTTCGTAAAAATTCAATTTTCTTGTGAAATGCTTCGTTTTCAATTTATTTTTTTCACACAGAAGTCATTTTTATTTAGCACGCTCCCTGAAACTTATCCCTCCTCTTTAATTTGTAATTAAGTGGCAAATAATACACCGTGGGGCCTCCGACGCAGGAAAACATGGACGGGCGTCGTCTGCCGCGGCTACCACAATTTTTGAGTAGCCGACATGGTAATAGCCACTGCGCATGCGCGAGAACAAAAACTAAACGTCCACAGGTCCTATGGGGTGAAACATACGGGTGTGAAGTACAATTTGGTAACACTCATGCCTCGTATTTTCTATTCCGTCCTGGTTTCAAGTTGACTCACAGAGGGTAAACATCGCGTCTGTTAACGCTTCTGTTTGTATATAAAGACATCACCTTCATCCTCATTGTTGTAAGTTCGATTGTACGTATAGACGCGAAGTTCATGGCATTTCATATTCCTGCCAATAGGTGCACTTCATAGTTCTCTGGCAGTGGCAGGTTCAAATTGAGTTCGGTTCTGTGCGCATTTGATGATCCGTGAAAACGAGAATGATATCGGTAAAACCGAAGAGCGACACTACATACGTGTGCAGGAAACTGACCACTTCGCCCGCCTAGATAAGTTGTTCTTGTTGGTGCTAACTGTTGGGCCATGATTCTACTGTCCCAACTTTGTATTTTAACGGAGTTTAATTGCTCACCCAATGAGGAATAAATTATGGTTTACGGAGTACATATACCAACACCAGACCGTGCAGAAAGACACACTGGATCACCTTATACCCTGCTTACAAGTAGTTAAGGGCTATTCAACTGAAAAGCGGAAATCAGCTGGAAAGTTTCAAGGATGAGGGGACCTCAGGAATAGCCTACTAAGCGGTGTTGGTGGAAATAAGGTTCCACGCATACTACACAGAAGTTCATTGCAGGCCTTAGCCAAAAGAGAAAAATCACAATGCCAATTTTCGCTGTAAAGTGGCTATAGACGAATCGTGACTGGTAGTAAACGCTATCGATGGTCATGGCCTGCGCACGAAATGATGACATGAGAAGCACGGTAATCATTGTGGGCCGGCATCTAGCAAGGTTCTTCATGTACGCATTATAGCTCCTTGATGTGCATGTACGTAAGGTCACCATGTACATGTACACGTACTGTACATGTACAGTCACTTTGTACATGTACATGTAAACGTACATGTACATGTATGCAATTCGACGTGATCGTCTCGGTCATGGGGAATGTACACGGTGAAACCACCTCAGATGAGTAATTTCCTCGAAAAGAATTCAGGCTGAGGAAACCCGGATAAGCTTTCCAATGTACATTCAGCCTCCAATCATTACCTAAAAGAAAACGTTTTAGATGTATGTGACAGCCCAAGAATATATGGGTTGTGTTATGTAACCTAAAATGGATATCATGATCACATGTACATGTACACCATTCCCTTGCCCGTTTGTACAGTAACATGTATTTTGTACATGTAGTGCATGTGCACATGTACATGTACAATTGCACGTGATGAACTGCGTTTCGGGTCGCTGAACTGGATGGTGCCACGTCCTCACATGCGCGAGCCAGGTTCGCCTAACCTACTGGCTGACCTTTTTATTGTTGACTTTCGACCTTCGACTTCGAGGCAGCGCATTGTTTGTTGATAAAGTTCCTCCGAACGCTACATGTACTGGGTTAGTAGGGCCTACGCAAGCTTAACTGTAAAGCTGAACGGAACCCTAATATAAATTTTGTTGATACTCAAACTTCCACCGTAATGAAGCGAGCTGTTTCGAATCATGGCAGTTGTGAGGCAGTTCTACAATTCCCTTAGGTCCTTCTCATGATTGAAATCGGACTACGGAGCGTCACTAAACGCACATGACGTCACTGATAAGAATCCACACAAGCGGATCGCAGTCTATTAACTTGAACCATGCTTGAACAAACCGACCTGCTGGCTTGCAATTATCTCGTCAATATCTCGTTTAGTTGTGGTTTTTAGCAGTAGTCAGGGGTAGCGCAACGCGTGGGCTGCATGGACACTGTGCTTTTGAGCATGGTTTGAACAGGATCAGGAAAAGAGCACTGACAAGAAGCACTTCTACGCGAGTTTCAGATTTACAGCGAGCATGGACGACATTGAGCTGGGCGAGGCTCAAGCTGCCGAGCCAATTGACACCTCCCGAGACGATGACCACGAAAGCGCTGCAGAAGATGAGGAAAGTTGCCCTGTACGAGTGGAGGTTCCGGACTTGGAGCGACCGACAGAAAGCAAAAAGAAAAGGAGGGGAAGGTAAGATGAATAAGAACATAAGACGACCCACGAAACTGCAGCTTAAGGAAATTCGGTTGTTCATTTTTTCTGCTCGTTCGTCTATAGGTTTCTAACGTATTTCTGGCACGCCGTCGGTTTCGCCGTGCAGGGATTAAAGTTTCTTTTTTGTATCGGGAAAACAATGCCTTCGGTCTTAATCCCAGAAAGGTCTCGGCTTATTTGTCGTTTTGGCTCTCTCCTGTAAACAACACCTAGAACTACGCGGGGTTCCCGCAGTGCCAGGAATGCACCGTTGGTAAAAGGTTTATTCGATCGTTTCTTACATAACAGTGAATTCAGTTTGATGAAGCGGGTCATTGTCTTGGTGGTAGCCATCACCATTGCAATCACCTTCATGGTGGTCGTAGCGGTGACCGTGTCCCGCGATGGAGAGGTGGTGACTACCGGTACCAAGATGACTTCAGGGAGCTTTCGGAGGGCGGCAGTCGCAGCAGATGTTGGGATCTGCTCTGAGATGGGACGGTGAGTATACAGGGCACATTGTGAAAAGAATAAAGGTGACCTTTGGACGGACTTTAAAAAAATACCTTCGAAACTGGGAGAGTGTCTAGCGGGGGTAGGATAGTCAAGTGCCCTTCTGCCGGCGACGTTTCGCATTTTCTGATCGTTTTTTTATTTTGATGTTTTCTGTTTTGGTTTTTGTGCTTAAAAAAACAAAAGCACAAACACCTAATTAGCTTTATACCAAAAACATGGATCCACATTTCAGAAAAAAAAGACCGATTTGTCCCAAATCTAAACATTTTTTTCCTAAATGTTGATTCAGATGGTCATGCGGTGTATTGTGGGTTTTCTACTCATCCTGATGTGCAGTAAAATCGTTCATCAGTGTTTGGTTAATCTTAATGAAAAGTGCACTATTTTGAACATTTGAAGTTGTCCATGATTTTCGTATGATGTAAAAAAGACAAGCCTTTTTTGAATTACTTGGCTGCGGCTTGAAATGTGAAATTACTCTCGAGTCTATACTTGTTGCAGCACTACAGCCACTACTGTAGCCGTAATTTCAAGTTGCTAAATGATTTTCAGTCACGGCCACTCTAATTCACTTCGAGGCCCTCTCTGTTTGAATTGTCAACCCAAAATTTGATGAAGGACATTATTGCGAGAAAAGTTTGCTTATTGGCCATTTTCTTCTATGTAAACTTATTCAAGGAAAACACGGGCCCTACCTATAGGCATGCCAGATGACGCGTCCACTTGGCCCAGTCAAGGTCTCGTGTAGATTAAAGTAGCATGCAGCACTAAATCTCTGGGTAATAAGCACTGTTACAGAATGGAGAAAGGTTTACACACGCAGCTTTAGCGAAGACAACTGTGGCATATACATGTACCTCAGCCGGACGCGCGTCATATGGTCGTTGTGCCCGTGAAAGAAGTTACAATCACTATCGACCGTAAGGTGTGGCTGTATAATCCATGACCTTGCACAGTGTAAATCAAAATTGTTTCAAAATGAATTTCATTTGTTAGTTTGTAGATAAGCATATTCAAACCCTATCACTGAAATGTTTTATTGGCGTTCCCTTGACACTGGTCGTAATTTGCATCGCTTGCAACATGGTGACAATAAAACATGGAGTTGTTGATCGGTTGGAATGCATCTTCGCAACTGGGCCGAGAAATACTCAGGAAAGAGGAGAGTTGAAAAAGGTCTTGCATTGAATGTTTTCGCTTGACACGTTGGCCTCTTGGCAAGGCCTTTTTGACTTGGCCCATTGGCCAGTATGCCTATTCTTAAACAGGTTATAGCGGAGCATGTTTTCCTGCCTCCGCGAGGTATAGCGACTGGGGTGGTGACTACTACACTATTTTGTCTTGACACTTTTTTGTGCCTACTTTTTAAAAAACGTGTCACCCATGACCCCATTAGATATTTACACTGAAATGACTGTGTTTAAATGCTAAATGGATTTTACAGAGCTAAACGTGTTTCACTTTTGGAAAAGCGTTTAACATTTAACGCTACCTCCACGGTTCCATGTACATGTACTGGTACTGGACCCATTCGATTCGCTGCTTTCTGCACTTGGGAAACCTGAAGAATATGACCTCTTTCTCTTGGGAATCTGCACTTTGTCTTGTAAGTTGGACAACCCCAAACGCAACAACAGAATACCATTTTTTGGTAGTACTCTAAGCTATGACCAAGTGCAATGGTACGTACATGTACAGTACAGTATACATGTACACGTACATGTACATGCATATTGAACATCGGTACGTGTTTTTACAAAGTGCACAGGTTGGCTCCAAGAACACTAATGATGCAGTTTATACTACTTATGGTGGAAGGGGCCATACTAAGAAACGACGATCTCGTGCCCACAGGAAAATTACGATTTTAAAATCTCTTAACAGAGCAATTCCACTTAAATATTAGCCAAAACGATTTAATGGGATTTTCTGAAGAAATGAACAAAGTCAGAAAACCTGAGAGAAAATGATCGTCGAAGTCGCATCCCTGTACTTTTTCAATGGCCTGCTCACATTTTTTAGTATCTAGTCACTTCCCACATTCTTGTCACTAAAGAACATTTGTGCGCATGCGTGCATAATTATGAATTCATTAGTGAGAGGTCTTATGACCAACTTCCCAAGACGTTGTTGCTGGTGTGGCTAGTTGTGGTTCGTAGCTTCGTGCGTTCCAGCTATTCGTCTTGTGAGTGCCCTCTCTTGTATCAAAAACACAACGACGTCTTGAACAAGACTATGGCCGTGGGTCCCTTGCGTGAGGCTCGGTCACCGACACACCGGGACAAGCAACCTGTCCTGAATGCGTCTATGTACAGACCGTAACCCACGTACCGAGAGACGTGTGTGGAGGATTGTGTAGGCCTAAGCCTTGGTTTCAGACCAGTGTAAGCTGCGATAGACAAAAGTGATAAGTACTCCCCACTTAAAAGAAAATCAGGAAAAAATACTCACAAGTTTCTCAGGTGTTTAAGACACACACCACATTAGGGTTCATTCTCCATCTTATGTCTTCCTTTTAGTTTTAGTGGGTTATAACCAATGAGTTTTTAAGATAGTTGAAACTTCTGATCACCTCTCAAAACAGTCATGAGCTCAGTGGTCTCAATATTGATGCCTACACTCCATTGCAAACTAGGGCGATTCGGAGGGCTTCGTTTGGTCCGGTACTTTCAGAAAAACTAGCTGGCAGTGCTGCGATTCGATTAGTTTCCATCCTTCTTGATTAAAGCCATCCTGTCCACCTGCCAAGAAATGGTCTTTAACAGGTAGCTGAGAATTTCACTGCAAGCAAATATAGTGATTCGGTCCGTGCAGGCAAGTTTGGGCCTGTTTACTGGCCCGCAACCCCAAGCCTTTATTTTGTGAATTCGACAGCACAACGTTGACAACGACAGCGTTCGACGCTGGGGTCATCAGCTGTAGAACCTAACATCCACTTACTTAAAGTGAAGAGTTATTTTGATGATAATTCTGAGCTGACGTGTGTGCATGTGACGAGTTGAGGTCAACATTAACCACGAGCTCCTCCTCCCTGTGCCAGCGAGACACCGGTCTGATCTCATACTGGAAGCCAGCACAGACGGCAAGTTGTGCCCCCGTAAACCTGTCTGGTGGCCGGGGGGGGGGGGAATTGAACTCCGGCCCGGTGTCACTGTCTCATTTTTTCCGGTGTGCACGACTCGGTTGCAACCCGCGTCCAGGATAGGCCTCCTCATCCAACTGCTGTGTTAACGAGCATTCTAGAAAGGGTACGGTGACTGTCCAATTAACGCTGCACGAAAACAGTCGAAATGAAGTGCTTTACAGTTTGGGTGATAGACTCGTGACGTTGCACTGGGGATACATTTCTCAGGTGGGGGGGGACATATTTACCATTTGGCAGGGGGGCAAATTTACCGGGAGAGGGACAGATTCACCCAGACAATTTTGGGGAGGGGGCAGTTTTACCTTTTACACCGGAGTATACGACGGGGAAGCTGGGTTGCTGCTCAGGACCGCTCTTCAGAACGCCAACTAGTGGCTGACATAAATCGATGACTGCAAGAAGGGTGTTTTACATGTCCTTTTTTGTTGTTAAAACTCATTATATCATTATAGTCCACTGTTAGTGTTTGATTAAGCACTGGTTACGATGGGCAAAGAGCGACATGTCTCGACTCCGATGCCATGTCAAAAGGAAGACGATATTCTTTGCAACTTTTGACCTTCCTCTTTCAGGATGAATCAATTAATTAACCCATAATGGGACAGTGTGAACCATAGGTTAGTTTCTAAAACGGCCTTGAATTGATATTTCAGTTTTACTCCCAATTTTTCATAACATGCAACCTTAACATGCAAACGCACCTCTTTCGGGGAAGCATTGAGTTTCATTGATCGGATGGTATGCCTACTGCAGAAACATGACATTTTAAGATTACGTGAAACTGAACATTTTTGAATTCTGGTTCCTGGCTCAGTGGGCATTATCAAATCGCAGCGGGCATCATGAAATGTTAATACACACTGACTCGTTTTTGATTCCTAGGAAAAGTGATTCTGTCCCAGGTGTTTCCGAATGTAAATACCTGAGCAATGTCGATTGTTAAATATATTGAGATTGAGAGAAAGTGCTTTAATCGTGTACGATGTGCGAATAACGAAGTATTACACGAGACGTCCTTTTCAAACTCGACTTTGCGGTTGATGATTGCATTAGTCATGATTTTTTAAACGTGAATTATTCGGACGTTAAAAAATCGTAAAAAGAATTTTCGAAAATGCAGAAAATAAAGAGAAATAACTAAATCTATAAATAAAAAAGCCACCCTCTTGAACCAGTTTCATAATCTGAACCATTTTTGAAATAATATATTAATTGTCTTCCCATATAAAACGGTGTTGGATGTTCATTCGACATCATGAAGATGCAGTTGGTTGGCTGAACCATTGTGACACTCATTTTTTTAGCGGTCGTAGTTCGCATGAACGTCAATATCAATTGATAACGATGTAGCATAAATGAGTACTTGTCTAAAAACAAGTTCAATCGGCATCAGTTTTGTTTCCAGTGTTTCGTGATGGAACTTGAGTTCATCACTGAGGTCAGCTACACTGGATTGACTGACCCAAAACTGCCCAGAGTAATTTTCGATTTCATTGGAAGAATTTTATCCTGTCCACAGTGATATCTTAAAACAAGGCGGCGGCGCCGTTGATGCTGCCATAACCAGCCTACTGTGTGTCGGTGTAGTCAACCCCCAAAGCTCTGGCTTGGGAGGAGGTATGTTCATGCTGGTCTACCACAAGGACATGGGCAAGGCCGAAGCTTTGATGGCAAGGGAAAGGGCGCCGGCTGCCGCAACGGCAAACATGACCCGGGAAACATTTGGTGAGTGTTTGGCTGGATAATTTGTGAGTTTGTGCGCCCATCACCGCCATGCACTAACAAATGACACATTTATATCTCGATTTTTGGCTGCCATCTATTTCGTTGCTACACAGCGCACTATTCATGTTTGTAATTTTCTGGGTTTTCGAGTAATATCGACTGACAACTACATAAGTCACAGCAAGGGATATGGTAATTTCACTTAAACACCGCTGACACGAATAAAAAACTTGGATGGCCTGTAACCTCGGGGCGTGACAGGCCACTGCGACAAAAAATCTCAAGTCTCTCGGTCAGTCTCCAACACGCAAGGAAAGTTTGGACTAAAAAAAAAAAATGCACATGGTGATTTCGAGCCCAAAGTCTCGTCGCGTTATCCGTTTAGTATGTAGTCCTGTTTGTTCCACACGGATCTTGGATTCGATCAGTAATTCCAAGTCTGAGTCGCTGCATCCACCAGGCGGGGTTCTGGTAATAGTGTGTCACCTATTGCGATCTGGATTTCGAGAAATAAACAGGCCCTGTATATCTAGGATGTGTTCGATTTAACTTGGCAACGCTAACCTGGAAATGACCGTATGTCAAACTAGCACTTGTAGCTCATAGAACAACCATAGTGTTCGTGCGATTTCAAGGTACGCACGACGATCTACATAAAGTAATGGCCAATAAAAAGTTCTGTTCGAGAGACTCCACCCTCAAACTCCACCATGCTTCCACCGTCCACATCCCTACCGTTATACAAAGAGTTTGTACACAAAAGTTCGATGATACCTTCTCGCTCATTGGTCGATTTTAGGAAAACAGTGGCCAGGGATGTACTTTCTTCCAGCTGTAATATAATGCACTCGTGCTTCGGCATGTTTTTCAAGACGAAGTGTCACGGCACTGTAAAATTAGAGCTGAATTATATGTGCTTGCCCTGTTACCCAGTTACCGAAAGCTCGGCAGTAACATAATTCACAGCTCTGATTGTATAATTATATTTTTGTCAAAATTCCTATCACGGTGCTACGCAGCCCTTTCATATTTCTCTGTAAAATTAGTGCCAGGTTGAAGGTAGCCGATGGGCTACAAATTTTTGTAAGGGCAAACTTATCGTTGCAATAGAAGTTTAACTGTCTAAATTTATACCTGTTTTCTCAATTAAATTTGAATGAGTCACTGCAGTCAGTACATTTTTTCAAGGTTTGATATAAATAATTTTTATGTAAGGCCTTCCTCATGATTTCACCCTTTGCTTTGTAGGTGCCACATCAATAGCTGTGCCTGGTGAGTTGAGTGGTATGTGGGAAGCGCACCAGCGTTACGGCCGCCTACCGTGGGGAAAACTGTTTCAGCCCGTGATTAGTCTGGCAGAGGAGGGGTTCCCGGTCACCGCTCATCTTGCCCGAGCACTTTCCATCTTGAGCAGGAGAGTGGCCAATTGGACTCTTCCCGAGCATGCTGGGTTTTTGTAAGTATTCCGGGTTATCCTTTTCCTGCAGTGGAATTTGCCCCACTTCTTAATTTGAGAAACTAGAAATCGGGACAAGAATAGGGGAAATTAATTGGATTCTTTTTTTTTTCGAAAACTATCGACAACAAATCTGCGATTATAAGATCTGTGAGAAAACATATCAACAACCTGTGGTACGATTTTTAAAAAAATCACAATAGTAATTTTCTGTGCTATGAACCCAATTAATGCCGCATTTTTAGGCCATCAGTAAATAGAACGAGATGAGAATATTCTTCCCTGAATTTTTAATTAAATGTCATGCACGAATCTGTACTTTACAGCACATCCTAAAGATTCACTTTAGATATTCAGGAGTGTTTATACTTTTTAGTCACGAAAGAGAGGGAAGAATTTGCTTAACCCCTCTCATGGAGTGTGAGGTTTGTAATATGGTATGGAAGATGACTGAAAATTTGGAAATTTAAATCTTGTATTTGTTTTGGTATCTGGTGTGTTTGAATACCATTCTGATGACTGACAACTGAGAGTGCAGTTGCCTCTCCCTGTTTTGGGTTTCAATAAGTCTTGAAGGACTCAATCTGTTGAAATAGATTTACTAGGGTTTGACTACGCCCTATCTGCCCTGAGCAGATGCACCCCTTCATCGGTTGAAAAGACCCATGTAGGTGGAGAGTGTTCATTTTGTTGGTAGCGATGCAAATGTGATGCATGCATTTCATAGTTCCTGAACCAGTGAAGTGCAGTTCCCACTAAAGAAGTCTTCGTTGATAGCAAAACTGCGCCCTCTTCTTGGTCCCGCACGAGGCGGAAGAAATTTGTCTCTGTATAAAGGTTGGAATAGTCCAGATTTAGTGACGGTTTAAGTAAGTAAAGCTTGACAGCGGTGACTCACGTTGTCCATCATTCTTCACAGTAAACACTTTTGCTCTTACAGAACAAGGTACGCAAATGAAGACGGCACTTGGAAGGGGGTTGGTGAGACTGTGTACGCCCCCAAGTTGGCAAGGACTTTGCGCGCCATCGCAATGAATGGTGTGAGCGAGCTCATCAACGGGACGACGGCACAAAGGGTTGTTCAAGAAATACAAGATTATGGTAGTATTTGCAGAGGTGTTTTATGTATGCAAGGAGTTTGATGAACGCAAGGAACAGAGAATTTCAAAGCCTTAACTTAAGACAGAGACCCAGACGGACTTGTGAAGAGAACCCATCTCTGAACAGGTCATATTCTGTAGTTTATCCTATGGGAATGGTGGATAAGCCTTTTCGAAAGCCGTCAATTTTTGATACAATTTCCGTAAACTTTCCTACATAGACTGAGAATTTTATAGAGAGGAATTTACCAAAAAATAAGTTCAAATTGTGCATGTTTAGCAATGTTAAACTCAATTAGATGATTAACGTTGTTATACAGCATCAATTTTCTCTCACCAGGGGGACTGATCACCGCTGCCGATCTAGCGGATTACAAGGCGGAGTGGAGGGAGGTCAACGCAGCTCCAATCGGCCAAGGCCGGAGCGTCCTGACCACGCCTTCACCCTCGGGTGGACCCGTCGTTCAGTTCCTGATCAATGTATTAGGAAGTAAGATCCCTTGAAGTATTTGTGCATGCACTTGACATTGACCAAGCATAGAAATTAGTCTCTGGGATAAATTTAAACGTTATCATATGCGTCACGGCTTTGGTTCTATTTTCTCACCTATTTTTACACCAATTTTAGCCGTTGTGAGGAAGGAATAAGAAAGTTTAACCAGAACCATGCCCTTTGACTCGATTTAAAAATAGTTAACAAGTATATTAAGATAAAGCTGGAATAAAAACATGACATGAAAGCATGTTAAAATTAGAAATGCGTTCCTTCCCGTTGCTAAACGATGTCATCAGGGGCCCCACTGCAAAAACTGCAAGGTTAATTCGGGTGATTAACAGTAGCGTGCCTCCACGAGTTTGCAACGCGTTGGCCAATCACAATGCGCAAAATCTGTCGATCCTTTCCAAACGCGCGTCGGGTCGACAGATTGTGCGCATTGTGATTGGCCAACGCGTTGCAAACTCTTGGAGGCGCGCTATTTTGAAGCGCCCTTGATAGTTATAAAAAGTAACGCAGTATTTGCAGCGTTGTATAGTGTATATCCAAATAAAGTTCGTGTACTTTAGTACAGTAAAATGACTGAAAAGGACTCAAAAATAAATGAAATGCAGTGCTCTGCCTAAGGCAACATTTGCCCCGCCTATAAACTGATAGATCACCCTTCAACTAACCAAATGCGCCCCTTTTCGATGTGGGCCTAATCATAATCTTTCGTACTCCAAACTTCCCCCGTATATTTCTCTAGTTTTGGCACTTTCTTTTGGCTGTCCGTTCCTGTAGATTACAAAATTTCATCAGCTGATTTTGAGACGACTGAGCGCCAGATTAAAACCTACCATCGGTTTGTAGAGGCGTCCAAGTTCGCTTTTGCTTTGCGGAGCTACCTTGGTGATGTGGAAGCGCCCGAAGTCCAAGAGGTAACCGCTCTTTTGCAGCAAAAATACAGTTTTTCTAGAAGACATTAACGTTTTCATTGAAATTATTCCACATCGAAAGTGAAAGTACTTGCTGATATAACAAATTCCTTAATTGATAAGAAGTCGTTTTGCACAAGCATCATTTCCCATCTGATAAGCGCGTATGATATCTAAAATATTCGGATGACCTGGTCCGAGTCAGTCCAGAAGGTTCTTTGAAGCCGATTTAAAAAAACGAACATGCTTAGCAGTGGCGTTGCTTTTCTCAGAGGGTGAACGGGGGGAGGGTTCCCTTGCCCTTGCCCCCTTGGATACGCCAACGATGCCGATCAATCTCCCCCTCATATATACATGTATACTCTGTTTTGCGAGATTCTGAGATTTCAAATATTTTCACTGTTCCAAAAAAAGCTCGATTCTACGTTTGCTCCTGAGAAGACGAAACATGAAGAAATGAGTTCGTCGTCCGAGCAGATGAGAACATTTTGAAATGAGTATCGTTCGATGGCAATGTCTGTGTACGAAGCAGGCAGGCCAACTGGTATTGTATTGCCAAGCAAAACCATAAAGGTGGTGTTATTCTATAAGTGTTCCTGTGGTCTGCCCGCTGAATAGATCGAACAGCAGAAAGTTTATAAAGCCTCGCAAAAGATGCACAATATAATAAACAAGGGTACATAACCGTAATTTCAGCGTGTCTTCTTTAATGCCTGGCCGTCTCACGCGGGGGCTGCATGAAGAGAGCCACTGACAGTTAAAAACTGTTTATGTGACAGACAAGAGTGGACCCAGAACCAAATTTTCGGGGGGAGAGCAAAAGATTTGGACTTTTTTAATGCTATCTGTTATGGCCTTTCTGAGGGATGAGGCTACCTTGTGGGGCTTTTGCAAGCTTTTGTAAGGGAGAAATAAACCCCCAAAATTTCTTATTTATAATTAATTAGAAAAGTTTCGAATTTAGGAGGCTTGGAATGGCTCACATTGTCCCCGTATCTGCCCTTGGTGATAGGTAGCCATTGTCTAAAATCGCAAATCTGGGTCATGCATTACTGACATTGAAACGTTTTGAATTCTTAATCAACAATTCATCTTAGTATTTGGGTTCATAGCATCCTACTTCCACTTATTCTATCTCTACCTCACTTCACCTCCACCTCACTTCACCTCATCCCATTTCAACGTCAGCTCAAATCCCACTAAAAGTGACTCAGTAGCTCCACCTTCAGCAGGCAGGGTAGGTTCAAATAAGCTGCAATTTTTACTCAAGGAAATTACAAGGTTATTCGTTACAACGTTACATTCCAACGTGAAGAAGCCATTTCACTTCCAAACGAATGAATATTGTCCCATGTATCGACTACACAACTTCATAATGAATTTTTGTAAATCTTTTTATACACTTCATAGCACGTCATTGCGAATATTTTTGGCTCCCTCCAACGGCAGGTTCTTGATAAGATGCGATCAGAAGAATATGCCAAAACAGTTTTTGCGAAGATACGCGAGGACGCGGTCACCTTCGCCAATGCCTCCGGGTACGACGCACTCCTCAACACGGCGTCTCACAGCGGGGGTACCTGTCACATAAGTGTCGTGGACGAGTCCGGAAATGCTGTATCTGTCACCAGTTCGGTGAATTATTAGTAAGTGCCAAAGCAAAGATGTATGGATACACCTGCTTGTGCCACAGGTTGTCATGTAGGTAAACAATTTTAATAAGGAACAGATCAGTTCACACATTCAAAGGTTTCTGATGTGAACGTGTCTTGAGCAACTATCTGCACTTGTTAAATGTAAGAAATCAGGCGTCTTTCTGGATACTCTCATTGAAAATTGCTCAGATGAAACCTTACATTTGTCAATGCTTGCCCTAACAAGTGAGGGCGCTGTGGCTGTGAGTTGCTGTTTAGGTCAGCAATAGCTGTAACACTGACGTTTCTGTCCAACATCACACGTTTACGCAGTGCGCAAATTTGCATTAGTTTACCCTTTCGTAAACATCACAGTCGGCCTGAACACATATAGAAACCAACACTTCACACCTGTCCTGGGGCCAACACCCATTAAACATGACACCGCTGTTTATTATGTTTGCCATCCTGACAGTGAATCAGGGAAGGTACCTCAAGGAACCCTGTTCTAAAGATTCTCTTTCGAAGTTTGCTTGTGAGCAAGTGTGCATTAAATTGAATTGCTCAGCGAATGGTTCATCTTTTTTTTCACCTTCTACAAGATTCAACTTCCCCTGCTTAAACAATTATGAAGAGATTACAGTCAAAATATGACACCCTCTGTCAACTCTGTTGACTTCTTGCAGCTTTGGCAGCATGATACTGTCGAACACGACGGGTCTTATTCTAAACAATGAAATGGCGGACTTCGACACTCCGTCCAGCCAGCCAGCCTCGTCGGCCAACCACGTGGCGCCCGGAAAGATACCCCTGTCGGCCATGAGTCCGGTCATCGTTGTGAAGGAGAACGGTGGCGCCGAGCTGGTGGTGGGCAGCGCCGGCAGTCGCGCCATCATCACCACCAATGCGTTGGTGAGGTTAAGAAAAAGAAAACCCGCAGCTCTCTCTGATAACCTGCCCATGGATTTTCCCAAACATAAGCGTTTTGTTCAGTTCTGCTCGTTTTAGATGAGATGAACCGAAGTTTGAAGATGCCGACTCAAAAGCTTCTGTCCTTCAAGAAATAATTTAATGAACTGCAACTCCGTATATAATTGTAGGTAATACCAGCCAGAAAGGAATATGAATGATAACGCAGAGTTCTCAGAATTCACCAATTTTGTGAACTCGGTGTCAGGCATAGTAGTTAAGAGACTTTTTAAAGCAATGACTTACATTTTTTACTGGTAGCCTAGTTCTCTAAAGCTGGTAGGTCTCGTTTTGGGTCTTCATTTCAGGTGGCATTGCGATCTGCTTTCACCGACGCATCACTCAAAGACATCATCGATGACAAGAGAATTCACAATCAGCTCCAACCAAATAATGTGGCAGTGTACGAAAACGGGTTTCCAACTGTAAGTATATGACTCATTTGAAGATTCCTTGTCAGGGTCTCATACTGTGCCGGAAAGTGATCGGCTACGACCGGCAGTGGAGTGGTTGCAGCCGGCTTTGTATGTCTTTATTACTTGTCGTAGCCACATTGCGCACTGTGGGATGTAGCGGTGGCTTTCTCCTACCTCTCAAAATGATTACATTAGTTTTATGCCCATCGTCGAGAATTCGGCCCATTAAATCTATGAGGGTATCCTCACTATTTACCTCGAGCAGAAGCACCCTTTCATCTCTTGAAAAGAGCCGTATTGGTCGGGAGTGTTCATTTTGCGACGTACAGTACATTTCATAGTCGTTCGTGAACCAGCAAAGTTCACTTCCGACCAAAGGAACCTCCATTGCTAAGAAAATTGCGCCCCCTCTTGGATCAGATCGAGGCTCATAGCACAATAACAAGGATGAAAACAAAATTAATGCACCTTGAGTTAGGTTGTCCTCTTAGGCTATAAATAAGGGACTGAAAACAGACTGATTTCCATTTTCTGTGATTCATTTCTGTTATGTTGAAAAAGTACGGGCGAGAGCGCATGCATAGTCTTACAATATACATGTACGTAATACTTATTGAGCTCTTTATTTCGAGCGACGACTATACAGTTGCCTAAAGTTCGAACCTGTAGTTTGGCCGTCGTCACTCGAACGATGGAATGCTGGATTATTTAGTCGACCATTTGGAACATGGCCCTTGGGCACTCTTTGCATCGCTGGTTATCGGTATTCTTTTTTGTAATAAAGTAAAGAGGCAGCCACTGACACTCTCTGCAACTTATAATGTTTGAACAGGAGCACTGAAAACGCATTTATAAATCGGCACCTTACACCGTGATGTGGTTTAATTGTCGGTACTTATACTTTGTTGTGGACAGGATGTGGTAGACGGCTTGGTCAACATGGGTCACGTGGTGGAGAGCAGAACCCTGATTTCCGTCGCACAGGCTATTAAAAGATCGGAGGATGGATGGACAGCGTACAGTGACCCCCGTAAAAAGGGACAAGCAGCAGGCTACTAGAGCATCAGTGCATGGCGTCGATGCGAAAGCCGTTTGTAGTTATAGTCCGGTTAGAGTATCACCGGACATTGCGATGGAGAAAGAAGTGCACTGGCAAGACAAAAAAAGAAGGAATTTAAAGAATACGCCCTAGGATGGGAGGCTGTTCACTGATTGGCCAAGCTCGTCGATAAACCTCGGGCGGCCATCTTACTTCATCCTAGACTTGGTAGCAAGTCGGTATTGAGTCGGGTTTGTTATCAACATGCAATCCACACGGTACACGTGTACATGTATTTGCGCGGAGACGCTGGCCAAATCGTCCAAGATCAATCTGAAATTGTCCTTGTGTGTTGCTTATCTCATGGTTATATTAGACCCACACCGATGGATTTCGACTGAAGCTCACGGACAAAAGCGGCCGTCTTACGACTTGTCATTAAGTCTAACTGCAACCAGAACGCCAAATCTCGATACATCCTTTGAGCACTTTATTGCTACGTGGTGCATAGAGAATCTGGCCTCGGTGATTTTAAGACGAAATCGGTCTTCAACTCCTTCGATGTACTCCAGATTGCGTGGTATTGGTAGCTTGTTGGATGAAGCACGATGGCGGCCGGTGGCTGTAACTTGCCAAAGGCTGTCCTCCCATTCGGTGTACAGAGATCAATGATGGGCGGCGGTTCGTCGACTTTTCCTCATTTATATCCGTTGCCAACAATTTGTCGATTGTCCTATGATGATTTTTAAAATAATGATTTGAAAGTCTGTCTAATGTTAGGCTCTCATATCGCCTGTATTTTTATGAGTATTCTGTTCTGAATCCAATTAATTTTAACCATTTCATACTGTGAAGTAGTTACTGTATAGTTTAATGTGTATTATTAAAAATTACGCTGTTTACAATTAAAAAACCACAACAACTTAGGCCCTATATTATTTGACCGCTATGAATCTAATAAAATAGAAGGTAATCACAAGTCAAACTTAGCCATAAATCTGCTGGACTGACCTTACTCTGTTATCTTCAGCAGTCTATCTCCAGGTTGCAAGATGTTTACGGAATGGAATCCTTTGTTACTGGATAGCCTTCAAATCGCGGTCTTGAGCTGTGATTTATGCCAGTTTGTGTGTCACAGAAAAGTGCTATGAAGAGAGTGGTAACTGGTGTTGACAAGTAAACTTTTTATTTCGTTTTCAACAAGTTCAATCCGAATGTGCATGTGGACAGTTCTCTCTTCAATTTTGTTGCAGCGTCTGAACCTTAAATATTTTCTTTTATAACTCGTTATTAGTTAAATACTATACACGGTTGCATGGACGCGTTACGTCTTTAAGTGATTCGTTGAACTATGGGATACGTCCAAACTCGTGAATTACCTAAAGCAGTTTTATTCGATTAGTGTTCTTCTTCTTTAAATGTAGCTGTATCTTTTATTAACTCTCAATAACTACATTAATCTGTTCATTTCGTAATCGATTTAATGTACGCATTTTTCTTTAAAAGAGTGATTTTGCCAGTTTTAGGAGCACAGTTTAAGTTCAAGTTTATAAGAAGTCACCGTCACCACAAGTTGTGCAAAAGTGACAATATGTATTGAAAGCATTTTACAAAGACTGCAGAACGTTGTCAGAATCGTGGAGCACTTAAGGAAATAAGAAAATAAAGGCGATTTATACAAGAATAAGTTGTATATATTTGAGAACATTGACAATAATATCTGAAAGTCTGCGGAAATGCGTTTGGAAAACTTCGGAAAGTTTTGAAAATGTTAGAAACAGGATTTGTTTTGGTGACGTCATCGAAGGTCTACTGGACATTCAGATCCTCTCAGATAGACTAAACCTTTAAGTCTGGAGACCATGCTTTTGAGGGGAGAATAGTATGTAGGCCCTTAAGTGACATAACGAATTTTGAATATGTTTTGCGATGTTGCAAATTTATTCTCGACTAGTGGTGATATACCCAGCAAGAAATGAGACCGCGGGGTACCCCCCCCAACATGTCCAACCCCTATACACATTCCAGACTATTGTTACTTAACACATCACCCAAGATGTGTGAAAGGAATTCCCCAGATTCCTGCGAGATAATGACCAACATAAAGCAGGGGGGGTTCTCTCCGTCTCATACCTTGCTGCATATGAGTGGTGAATATTTTTGTGGCGTCGCTAGTTCATTCACTACGGTCGTGGGCATTTTCAGGACGTCGTGAATTTATTTGCAACCGGTTGTTAGTATTTTTGACGTGAATTTTTTCACAACGCAGTCGTGAATATTTTTGAGACATCGTGAATATTAAGTCAAAACTATAAATTTTTTCATTGATTTTTTTCAGTAGCTGGAGGGTATTCAAACAAACAGGTGATTGAGGGCATTTTGCATAACGATTGGATTCCTGATTCGTTGTGTAGCATGCTCTGTTGTCATAGTATATCGGCTATTCCAGGATGCACACTGATCCATTCAAGTTTTTAAGAAAAATATTTACGTGAAATTCACAACCTGCGACCAGTCGCGAATTTTTCGCGATGCCGGAAATATTTTCGCAAGGTCGCTAAAATATTTGTGAACTAACTTAAAGTGTCGCATTGTGTATTTTTGACCAGTTATGTCGCTTTAGGGCCACCACATAACGACTATTTAAAATGCATGTAAATGGTTTCGAAGGGTCTATGCAATGAAAGTTAGACTTACGCGTAATTGGTGCCACTGTGCGACTGTTTATTCTTTCGTCATATTAATACTTGTTGGAATAGAAATTGTAATTAGAGTCGTCATTTGAAATTGGCCATGCTTTTACAGACAACTGAGGGCGCTGTTGCTGTAATCTCACTCCTGATTATTTTCATCGAAGTTGTTAACCAATCGTTTAAATACTCAATGACATTTCTGAGAAAATGTTATTCATCGACATATTGCTATACAGTCGTATAACAATGAATTACCGAAGAAAATGACATGTAGGTCAGGAGCACAATGTCTATTCAAGCAAAAATGTTGCTCGGAAGACAACGAAAATTGAGGGTTTCTTCTTTACATATATTACAGTATTGCTCATGAATAAAGAAATTTGAAAACCAAAAGAACGCCAAAATACCCAAAATACAAAACTGAGCATGAAGTGATTGGGTCACAAAGATGCATTTTCAGTTATTGTATTCAGAAAAATGCATTTCAAATAAAGAGCCTTTGCTGGCTTCGATTGAAAATGGGAAACCACTGGCTAGCTGCTCCGTGCAACCACTTCCCGTAGTCTCGGGTGCAGTCTCCTTCGCAGTCAGTCAAGACCTCTGAAATTACACTGGAGCGTTACGGGATGCAGACCAGTAAACGGTCCTCAAATTACCTGCATAGACCAAATCACAATTCGCATGCTGTCAAATTCTCTGCTGGTAGAGCATGGATGGTTTATAGACAGTGAAGACAGAGTCGACTTCCAGGACCTCCAGCTTGTATTTCTCAAAACATTGGTCAGCACAGGATTCTCCAAATTGCTCGAATTTGCAACGGAGTGTAGGCACCAATCTTGAAAATGGTGGTGGGCTGTTATAGAGGTGACCATCTCTGGATGAAAATATCTTAAAAAAAAATCATCATTTAAGCAACTAAAAACGGAAAGCAAAACGAATTAGATAAGTTTGATATTTGTCTTGAACACCTGAGAAACTTCTGAGAATTCTTTTAAGTGGGTCTATTGATCACACGGCAGCTTATCTACTGGTCTGCAACTAATAGTTTCAAAATGGCAGCTTCTATCTTATTGTGTCTGAGGTGTTCGAAATGACTCACTGTGGTCTATATATGATAGTCATGATATTGAAATTGTGGAATCTGATATCTTTATGAATCTGTGCATATCTGAGTTTGTGTAGACTAGATAGGTTTGCAGATATATCTCTTTGGTGAGTATGTGGTTTCCAAAAAGAACCGATGGTACTCAACGTTTCAGCAGTATGCTCTGTCCGTCGTCAGGAGACTGCAGAGGGTCTAGTGATGAGGCAGTTTGTCTGAGTTTGCTGTTTTTGCCAGGTTTTGATTAAAGAGCGACCCCAACGGTGGTGAAAAAATGGGAAATGCAGTTTAATATACTCACGTGGTATCTAAGTAATAAGTTATTTATGTAAAGTGGCGCTGTGACTTCTGAATAAAATAGCAATAATGTGATTAAAATAAGGACCAATTATGCGGGTTTTTCAAAAACTGTCCACCCTTGTACCGTTGGTGGCGCTACGCAGAAGTGCTTTTGATTTCGTACCACGTGGAAACGAAAAACGTCATGACCTCTCAGGACCTGGTTTCGTGGAAACGTTTTTGTACAAAGGCCTGCGTGCCTGAGCTGTACGGCCTATGGCCTGACACTTTTTAAGAAAATAAAATAACAGAAAAACATTGAAAACATCTGTGATTTAGTGAAAGTATTTATTTGTATGAAATGCAATTTTGATGAGAGCCTAATTGGATTAAAATATTTAGTCCTCAGTAAGATAATTTTACATGCATAGTACATCTCATGAAATTTTCACAGAGCCCTGTGCATGTTATAAATGTGGAATTGGAATTTTTGAATACAAACGGGGAAGATTGAGCTGATTAAAAGATTATGGAATATTGTTCGATGGATGCAATTTTACAGACAATTAGTATGTCAGTTGCGTATCCCCTTCAACCTTGATTGGAAACAATGAGGAAGGACAACTTTGAAAGTAAAACATCTTGAAGAAAAGGCTGCATTGCGTTAGGAATCACGCAGTATTTATTGGTTTATACAAACGTTCGGACATTTGCGAGGGGGAGGGGGTCCAACAGGGGCCATGCCCCTGAAAGAAGACGCACTTTTCCTTTTTATGTATTTGAAAGATACTTACAAAGGCGATTCGGGGGACTGGTTCATCCTTTCTTCCAAAGGTTTAAAAAGCCCGAAAGTTAACCTGATGCCTAACAAACCACACAAAGTAATAGTGAAGAATTTCTAACAACGTATGCTACCCCCCCCCAAAAAAATTTGGATCTTTTGGTTCTGGATCTTTCCTTACATTTCGAATACATCCGACATTATCTTTAAGTTGAATTGTCATTTTACAAACGGGTAGGAAATTATTCTTAAAGACAACGAGGCACTTTCATGTGACATTATGCTGCTATGCTGAATACAAAACTTGTAGGCCTATGTTTTGGATACCATGGTTTCAATCTTGCACAAAATAAGTCAAATCCATCCTGGCACATGCTATCACACAGCGGTGTTCGTGAAACTGGCGCAAGAAAACCTTTTTAAGGCCCTTGGTCACATATCTTGAACGACACTTTTACACTGATACCTAAAATCCCTTCCTTCATTAGTCAATGTATCGGTGAAAAGCCCCCTCTCCTTCTCCTACAAAAAAACTTTTTTTCAAAACACTAAAACAAAAAACCAAAAAAAAAATCGTCGGGATTAAACTCATGCCAAAGCATGGCAGACACATGCCAAGGTGGTATTTCAGATGGGTAAATTTGGAGTGAGCAAAATATTTCACTCAAATCAAACAGCGCCCTCATATTCTCGTATTGTGCCTGCCATGCCTCAAAAAGGCTGGTAATATATTTACTTGTCAAATCACTGTCTTGAATACCGTCTCTTTTTCATTGGGCCAAAGAAATCACGTGACACGTTCTACCGACAACTCACGTAAGTTTCCTCCCTCTACTAAGTTTTGCTTATTGTTTAGGGCTGAACACTGTCCAGCTTTGGTGACGGAAACGAGAAGTCTGGTGGAATTCTTTTGTTATTCAGTCAATTAATGTATTCAAATTTGCAGTAGCCTTTTTTTGAGCAGTGATTTTTGTTGATTTCCTCTGTTCTTGTAGAAAATCATGACATGCTTGCCCCCCCGGGGTCACATGAATGTGAAACCTTCAAAAGTAAAGCCAACGCCGAACGGTCACGCTATTGCAACTGGTTAAACGCGCTCCAACCTAGAATAATTTGCATTCATGTGCAAATTGGCCTTCAGGACCCAATAGAAAATACAAATTCATTTTTACCCTCACCACAGCGTGAGGACAATTAACGACTCACAAAAATGAATATGCCTCGTCCGCAGGCTTACGTGCTGTATCAAGTTGCTCATAAATATTACTTTACTGTGGAATGTGAACAAAAGCGCTCATATAAACGTGTCCGCTAGATTGTCTCATATGTCAACGTTATTACGGCGTCGGTAATTCGAGGGCCAATCATCCGTGAAGTTGGGAACGAGGCAATCGACATCCTCGCGCCAAGGCAGAAATACCGGGTGAATCGCAGGGATATTGCACGTAGAGAGTAGAACAAAGTCAGTTGGCGACTTGGCACCATGTCTTCATGACAACTGGCAACAGGACTCAGACAAGATACAGTCGGCCAAACACCGTTTTTCGTATATGTTACTTGCTTTGAGATCATGTTCAAAACTACAAACCGAAAGGACCAGCAACTGGACAGGTAAATGTGGGAAACAACCGGTTTTTCTCGACGAGCAAAATCATAACAACACATCATATTGAAACATGTATCAATGTGAGCAGAAATATTACCAGCCACTTTTGAATCCATCTCAATATTTTCGATTGGTGTGCAGGAAATCTGAATGGGGAAAACATCGAGCACTAGCCCTCCTCCTAACTGTGGCCGTGGTTGTTCTTGCACTGATAGTCAATAAGTCGCACCTGATAAGGGATGCAGTTTGGCTAACTCATATCGGCCAGCGCCCATCGCCTATAGGGTGGTACAGAAGGGGTGCTGTAGCTACAGATATAGGACTGTGCTCGGAGATGGGACGGTAAGTGTGGGTGTGTCTTGGAGCCAGTCGTTTTCCACGGCCCCTATTCTCTTTATTGAGAAGCAGTAGATATTGATTTCGCGAGGCGGCAACCTATAGTGAAGAGGAGTAGGGTAGAATAAGAATAACATAACCCAGACTGGAAATTATGCTGATTTAAACTGGTTAGGGTTGCTTTCCTTCCGCGGTCGAATATACATGTAAAATACGTATCGGTCTATAGAAGTACCAGTCGGAAATAAAAATGAATCCAACGTTGACCACAGATTAAAGTTAAGACCCTGTCAATTGTACACTCAGTTTTAAAAAGGTGCAGGCCTGTGCCTATTTCATTTGATTATTTTGTAGTTTTACTTTACAGATACAAAAGTTGATAAGTATTTGTCCAATTCACTTCAAACAATGCCTAAATATGACGATTGAGTGACCAGATAAATAAATAAAATCCCAGTCTTACCATGACATACATGTATAATCAAATGGGCCGGTTTCCCTAACTATTATATGTCTTGTCCAAGAGTTGTAGCTCAAGCAAGGTCTCAGCTATGGGAACAACATGCAGAAATACTCATGAAACCCGTCTGAATATAGCACATTAACATGTCGAGGACGGCTGGCTGAGTCGGCCCTCCACACACACAACGCTACCGGTACGTTCGACGCTGCCTCCGGCTCCATGCAAAAGGCGTCGTTAAGTGCATGCATTGTACATGTATATCGCAGATCACAGTGAGATCACACATGACGACATGACGGTCATTTAACTTCTTAAATTTTGACGACAAAACTCAAACCAACATCTTCTATGTTGCTCACAACATCAACTCAGAGCTGAATGAGAATAAATAAAAAGTGCGTAAGGAGATGGAATCAATATTGGTTGAATCCATACAAGATGATCACTAGGATAATCACAGGGTTGGTCGCTGTTATTGAGCAGGTCCAAAGACGGCGACAAGAATTATTCTCCGATAGAGGAGAATGGAGATGCCCTACCTCGATCGACTTAAGCAGTTGAACTGGTGTTCTCTACAGTCCCGTCGGGACTATCTGCTGGTCTGTTTTGTTGCTAAAACTTTTTGGGGGGCTGTTTGCCTTTTGGCAATAGTGATTGGGTTCTCTTTTTTTTAACTCATGAGGAATAAAATAAAAATAATACTAATAGAGAAAGGCGATTGATTTGAGACAAGAACCAACTTAGTCTCCAAAGAGTGGAGGCAAGTTTGTCAGAGAGCGAAACGTGTGCACGCTCTTCCAATACTTACAAGACACTCATCATTCGTAAGAAACTAAAAAATAATCATTCGCTTCGATTTCTCAATGTACTCAATCCTTAATCCCTCAAATGATAAACCCTTTTTAGTGAGCTATCAATTCACATTGTTTTGCTTTTCTATATTTTCTATATTCATTGTTCCATTTGTTAGGGTGCAACTTGGAAACGCCTTTGTTACTTCAGATCTGATGTTTTTCAACAGGAACATTCTTATTACTGGCGGCTCGGCCGTGGATGCCTCAATAACAGCTTGCCTCTGCCTGGGCGTGGCCAGTCCTCAGAGCTCGGGGCTCGGTGGGGGTCTGTTCATGGTCGTCCACAGTAAGAACGGCTCTACGGAGACCATCATTGCTACCGAAGCTGCACCGGCAGCGTCGCATTTCGACATGTTCGTGAATGACACAGATCAAGCCAAATTCGGTATAACTGATTCTAAGAAAAATACAATATTCGGAAAACACAACTCTTAAAATGTTTAAAGTGTATGTTCAATGTATGAAAAGTATTTTACGTTTCTAATTGATTAAATTAATTGTGCACTTTTTTAAACTATTACATTTTTCCATACTGTCCTGGACAATTGAGGGCACTGTTGCTGGATGTCATGCAGGGAAGACAAAGTTCATTGCATAGGTTTTTCTGTTCCAACTGTGAAGCCAAAATGAACTTACTGAAAACATTTCCGAGAACGGGTTTTCAATGGTTGCCTATTAAGATGCACACAAACAGCAATAAAGAGAAAATTCGGTCTTGCAAAATCTCAAAATACAGGACTATTTAGGGCACAAACGAATGTAACGTTGAGGCTTCTTTCCTGGGATGATGACGTCCCAATTTTGCTTATGAATATGTAAATACTCATTAACTACCCCCCCCAAAAAGAACCCCTCAAAAAGTTATTAGCACCTACCCTTCACGTACACCACTTAGGCCTACTTGTGGCATACTTGCATAAAATATTCAACACCAAAATGCGTCTACATCCATCTGAAAGTATTAATTAAACAATAATCAACTAAGTTTTATCAGAATATTCATGTGTTTTCAAATTCAATCGTTTACTGCGGCAGTTTGTGGAGTGCTGGCACTTTATTAATGCAGGTCGCTGGTTGATTTCATGCTTCGGTTAGTTCGAAGGTAAATCTGAAGTTACATCCACACCATTCCCTGGCATAGTATTTAATTCGTTGAGTGATCTCTGCAGTGCATAAAATTGATCAATGCAAACCAATTTTACACTCAGCCCATTGACAAACTAGCGTATGGTTCGTAACAACAGGAGCTAGAGCCGTGTCTGTACCGGGTGAGCTGGCCGGATTGTGGACGGCGCATCAGAAGTATGGCGTGCTGCCGTGGAGAGACCTCTTTGCACCGGTCATCGACATGGCCCAAAACGGCTACCCGATCGCCTGGCACACTGCGCGCTGCTTAAAAAATCTCAGGAAGAATTTCGACCGTTGGCCGATTCTAAGGTTGGGTTAAGGAGATGTTGTAATGGTGTGTCCACATTTTCTTTGCAGGCGTGGTTAAATGGGAATTTCTGCCTAAAAGAAATTGTCCATTTTTCCCATGGGTAAAAGAATCCTTACCCCAGTTATTGGTCTGGTACTGTTATTTGAAATGTTGATGCTTTCAATTCCTAAAAGAATCAATACGAAATAAAACTTTAAAATGGCAACACATCCCTAAAGAATCATCTTTCCTCTGGCCCCGCTGGATACACCACTGAGCCGTTGGTGGTATTTTATGACAGACAAGGGAATTTCCCCCGTCATAGCACCGTACAATGTAAGATGAGCTGGATTAGGAAATTTATTGTGGAAGTACTGGTTTCATTTTTTGAGAGGGGGGAAGTCTGGCGGGTAGCTTTGGGTCGAACCAGACCGAACCGTGGAAACGAGATCAGTGCCTATAGAAGAGCTGGGCCGCAGTCCAGCTGTTCAGGCCATGCCGAATTTAGCCCAGCCCAGTGAACCCAAATTAAAAAATGTAACCTCTTGGTATGCTTGAAAAACTGAAACTGCAAATTCACATTTGAAACATCGATGGTTGATACAAAACAAACATCGAGAGGCAAAGTGGCCACGTGCTGCTGCAGTCAGATCGTGTCCAGGGATGGGGCGAGGGCAGCGGCGTATCCAGCTTTTGGTGGTGGTGGGAGGGGTATCCAAAAGCGAATGCAGCTTCGGACTCATTCAACAAGATGTTGGAAGAGAAAAATAATCAAAAGCTTTACCCACGGTCCCAACATCCTTGCTTTTATTTGCTGGTTTTTTTAAGGGATTTGGTGCTAGTAGGGCCTATTTGACAAGAATACTGGCTGAATATTTTCTTTCCTACCCACCCATTCTTTGTAAAAAACAAAATCCTCAAAAATTTCCCTCGGGGGAGGGGGCAAGTTGCCTCCCCCGCTAGATACGCCTCTAGGCGAGGGCTAGGGGCGGGTGACCTTCCTGGAAACAAGTTGCCTTCCTTTGAAGACAGTGCCATGAACAAGTTAACCCTTTCTTATTCCTTCAGGGAACTGTACACGAAGCCTGACGGATCTTTGATGAAGACGGGTGATATCTTCACGCCTCCAGCTAGTCTAGTGCAGACGCTGCGTGCCATCGCTGACGAAGGGATGTCGGTTTTATACGGTGGAGAAGTTGGCCGAAAACTTGTCCATGATATCCAAGAACAAGGTGAAACATCCTATAGTACTCTGGGGAGTGATGTTCAAAAACTTGGAAAGGGTCGATCTGTGTTGCTTCTTTAAAGACAGAAAAACAAACACTCACATGACAAACATTCAAACGAAGTAACGTTTTACGACTTTGAAAATGGCTTGTGCTCGTTTGATTTCTTTTTCAATATGAGTGACTGGTTCGAAAATTGATGTGTAGTGAGTGAGTATAAAAAGAGCAGATGGGATTTGAAATTAGTCGAAGATCTCAACAAATCATTTTATTTACGTTTAAATGTATGAATATTTCTGCAGCTGGACTATTAAACATGTGGTGGCAAGTAGGGGTGTATTTAGTGGCTGGTAGTGGTGGCGTACAGGGCTATACAGTGGAATTATTTTGCTACAGCCGTTGAAAGTGCACCTCTTTGTTTCAATTAGCCTAATTCTACTTTTTGTTGGAACCTTTTGAGTTTTATGCTAATGCCAATTCACATATTCATGAGCAAAACACTGATGCCATCAGAGGGGAAAACCCTCAATGTTACATTTATTTGTGCCCAAAACCTGCTGGAATATATGGTATTTTACTAAGCTAAAGTTCCTTTTCTTTCGTGAGTAATTATAGAATTCGTATAATTGCAATAATTCAACGAGCAACTCCTTCTCAGAAATTTTTATAGCTTGAGATTTTAGGTTTGCAAGTTTAACTGGAAACACATAATTAAAACAAAAGACTTCCCTGATTGACATGTAATGTAAATTTAATATCAGAGAAAGTTTTGTACACTGAACAATACACATGTATTTTTATCTCAGTCAGCAAAACTGAAACTACAATTTTAGGTTTCTTGAATTTCATCATAAAGGTGGTATAATGACATTGGAAGATTTGACTAGTTACAATGTCACACTGCAAGCGCCTGTGGTGTTGAACATGAGGGAAGGTCATCAACGCGTGATGTCGACGCCTATTACATCTTGTGGCAATCACCTGCTGTTGGTCATTAGCATTCTGGACGGTATGCCTAAAAAGATATCCACTATATCGAACATTGTAGACAGAGGAAGCTACCTGTGACCCTATGCATTTTTATGATTCGTATTTTTCGAACATGCCTTGTATGGTGTTTTATTTTTAGCCTGAACGACATGACAACCCAAGTCTTAGCTTTTTTCATCGAAAAGCATGCAAAATAATGAGGATACATACAGTAGCGTAGAAGGGTCATAAACAAAGTTCATACCCCTGTACTTTCAAACGAAAATTGGATGTGGGGATTCTATACACTCTGTAGCATTTTTGTATCAGACATTTGGTCGGAAGCTTTATAATCTTCTTGACATGTTCAAGTGCCGATAAACTTGAAGGCAAATGCCAAACAAGGCAGTTTTTCTCAATGTTAGGACATTTTGGGGGAGAATAACGGATGATGGGAGCGTATTTCAGGTCTCGGAATGAATTTGTGTCGGCGGTCTTCGTCTTGCAGAGTGTGACCTGGCTACCCTGGACTTCAGCTCATACGAGGGCAAATTGAAATTGTATCACTATTTCATTGAGGCTTGTACCTTTGTCACCGGTCTGCGACTACACAACGGAGATTTTAGCAAGGCCGAAAATGATAAAGCAAGTATTTTCTCACTGTTTTCTCAAAGGATTCGTCGGAAGTATTTAAGTTTCGAATTAATTTAAATCGCAGTCGGAGGCTATTAATACCCCCATCTTTTTCCGAAATTTCAATTCACCCAGAATTAGGTCAGACAATTCCTTGGAAATACGTGGGTTGTTAGGCAATGCGTACTGGCTTTTAATTGGAGAACTTATAACTATAGAGTCCCCGAGAAGAGCAATTGTAAAAAGGCCATAGCGTCAAGTAGAAAGTACAAGTCGGTCAGTAATGTGCTGTGATTACTACTCCTGCTCATTGAGCTTATATTATGATATTCCAGGAATCACATCGCCTTTCTTGGAAGTGTATCGTTTTGTTTTCATAAAGGTTCGTACTACTCTGACATGGCGGGAGAAACAAAGAATTGTTTGTCACATGTTAGCGGCGAAATTCATCAATGTGGGAATACCGCTACTTTTGATTGTGTAAGGCCTACTTGCCAAGACATAGGGAATTTACGTCTTCGTTTCTTTTTTTGTACCGATTGTAAATCAGCTTTAAGGAAGTTTCGTACTTCAAGCGAAGGTGAAAGCGTAGTGAATTTGATTTCCCAAAACGTTTGTAGCGAAATTCGCTAGTGATGAAATGTGATAAACTGTTTGTCCGAATTCACAGCACGATTATCGTCACAACGTCGCGTTCATGCTTGCTTTCCCACCAGGTAGGAACCAGCTATTTAAGATATAAGCGCAACCTGCCTCCTGAAACTCAAACAAAAACGCATTTACACCTACTGTCGATGTCTGTAAAACCAGGCTGAATGCCAAATCGTAGTAACACACTACATGGCAATTGCAGAGATTCTTACTGTGCAACACCGCACGACACTCCTCTTTTTCGTTCGTTAACCCATGACCTACCTCCATGGTTAACCTTACCAAACTTTCAATCTTCGACAAGATTATAGCTGCTATATCGTCCAAGGAGTACGCCCGGAGTATCTGTTCCATGATCAACGACACCTACGTCACCTACCCATCTGGCCAGGATTACGACACGTTCAACGATCTTCCTGGGACCGCTTCACCGAATGGTAGAGTAAACAAAGCCACCCCGGGGCCAAACGTTAACCAAGCCGCTGACGGGGAAGCTTGGGACAAGATGTTCAGTGGGGACGTCATGGACGGTGACAGCAGCCACTTGAGCGTGTATACCGAGCAGGGAGACGCTGTGTCTCTGACTACATCAGTAGGAAAATAGTAAGTGCTAATGTCCGTATGGCTGTGGCTACCGAAGCTAAGCAACTGTGCAAACATGGACCGCCACCCTCTTTGCTGCTTACTGGTAGCGCCCAACTTGGTATAGCAACTGATCCTAACGCAAGTATGATCACTACACTAGTTATTATCATTTTTTAAACATTACATTGCTGCTGTGATACTGGGGCTATAAATAATCTCAGACCCATTATGCTTTAACACTACTTCAATTTCCACCAGCTTTGGCGGCAGAATGTTATCCTACCAGACTGGACTCTTTCTCAACAACCACATGAGCAACTTCTATTACAACGGCCGGTCACCAAGGTGGGAAGCAAACAGGCTTGTCCCAGGCGCCCGTGCAATGTCTACCGTGAGCCCTGCCATCGTAGCTGATGAGAACGGAGTTTTGGGGATCTTGGGATCGTCGGGTGGTTCGAGAATTATGTCTACCAATGCATGGGTGAGACAAGTTTATTCCGTATTGGACATTCTGTATGTCTTATATTGATATTCCATATTGGACATTCTGTATGTCTTATAATGATATTCCATATTGGAGTGTAGATTGTGCAATTAACGGTTTCAGTTTTTTTAGGCTGTGGGAAACCCTGCTGGATTGTTTCTAATTATTCTTAATTTCAACAGCTTATTCTTCGTTCACTGTGGGGTAACAAGTCGTCCCTTTCCGAGATAATTGATTCTCCCAGAGTGTATGCCTTCCGAAGTCCCTGGAAAAGCACGATCTACTACGAAAAGGACTTCCCACAAGTTAGTGATAACTTACTATTCAGACATGGCCTTCTGTCGTCCACTTTGCTATCCCAAAATCTGATAACTACTTTCTATATTTGCTTTATCGAGTAGCTAATTTGTTACTAACATCGAACGCGTGAATCAGTTTTGTAACCTGGGAAAGTATATCATTATTCCTCCCCTCAAGTAAATTGGACCATTCCCTATTTATTTTCGGTGCAATTTCATGGCTGTCACCTTATGCATGCAGTAGACCTACGCAAGTCTCTGGACCATTAGGAGTCGGAAGTGATAATTTATGATGAAACCACAAGTAGCCACATAAGGTCCAGGAACCACCTCATAATGTACTTCACTGTGCCATGTTTTTCGTAGAACCTCGTTGAAGGACTGAAAGCCATGGGCCACAACATGGAGTTAACCTCATCCTTCTCGGCGGCCCAGGGAATTCTCGTCGGGCCGGGGCAAGTTATTCAAGCTCACTCGGACAGACGTAAACGGGGCTTCGCCGCCGGCTACTAGCCAGTTCCTCTAGCCTCGGGAAAATGTCAAGAGCGTCTTCAGTTCGTGTTGATTTCTCTGCAACTATCATTGCTTGGCATGTTACAAATATAGGCCTATGTGCTCTTTTCCACGTATTGCGTTTGGCTTTGCAAAATAGCGTTTAGTCATGATTCAACAGATCTGATACTAATACGATAAAGATTCGATTCGATACGGCAATAGTTTGAATGGTTTTCAAATGCTTTCATCACTCTGTTTTTTTGAAATTCTGGGTAAAGTTCAGAGGAAGGTTTATTGAAAGGACAATAAATTCCTTACATTGAAAAGGATGTTGTAATCAAGCGAGGATGAGGGTTTTAGAAAAAGTTGATGTCATCTGAGTTGTTGGTTGTCGATCACGTGCCATGGATTTATTCGCTACACTCAGCGGTGCGACCATTTGTTGAAGTGTGCCCCCCACTAACTGGTCCAAGCAAATATTGTCCAATTTAAACATAACATGTCAACTGTGAGTGTGACGGAAGCACCACAACTAGGCTACAAGGTTTTAACGAGGGGACTCTTCGTCTCTGTTTTCAAGAAGCGTTCGAAAGTATGTGGTGTTTGTTAAAAAAAACCACACCCCCCTATTGTTCCTCTTTTGTTTGTACTTCAACTTTTTCAGAAGACCACCCACATGTTTTGTACACAGTTGTCAATCGGGGACCCTCTGTCAACCGGGGACCTTATTGTCCTCGATTGTTCAGGGTCCCCAATCGAATGCAGAAACAAACTCACACCCACCCACAGTTGATTCTCTGAGGCGTAATGGATCCGAAGTTTAAAGTAAAATCCGTATCAAGTCAATACGTAGTACACGTACCTCGTTTCACATCAGTATAATCAAAACGGAAAGGTGGGGATTATGAGGTGAAGAGTCTGTAAAAATCCACAGCGGAGGGTAAAACAATCATGGCTAAGTACATCAGAAACCCATTCCTCGCATCTGTTGTATCGAATCATAATACAGGCAGTTTCACATCCAGGGTTAAATGTACTACACTGTACATATAATAAAAACTAGCTTGGTCGAAAATACCGCAGTTTTTGGAGACGGGGTTAAGCTCGTTGGTCATTTTGGGTTGTAAAAAGTGATGAATGAAGCTGGAAAAGAAGGACGGGTAACACGGTCTCATCGTATTTAGCGGAAATGGTACATGGTTGCTCTGGTTAATCGGGAAACGTTGAATTGGTGCAGATCCCCCTCCAAACAGTTTGCCAAACTTGTACAGGAATCGTTTTTCCTCGTGCTGGCCGATTTCACATGTACCGCATGTTAACATGACTTTATAGCTACTAAAACTGATAACTGCAAGTCCCATGATTAGTGCACAAAAGCCGCTCTTCACCATGGATCAAAGTCACCCCATCGGCATCCGCGGCTTAGCTAGACAGTCATGTCTCAGATGAGTATGTTTTCGTAAACAAAAAGCACGTAATGTCAGCCACGAACACACCAGGCTCTTGTCGGCGGTTCATCTGCCGCTGACATCGCTGGCAACTTCAGTAAACGGGCGTATTGTCCTCCACATACTTGGCTCGGGCCGTACCCAGAAACTAAAAAGCCGAGGTATACAGCACGGAATCCGTGAAACAGTCTCGACGTCGCACGCATGTAGCCGCGCGTATATAAATTATTTTAACGGGATGTCGTTGAGTTTCAAGCACTAATAGTGCAACTGGCTGCTGCTGTGATCGAGAGCAGAGCTGTCGATCCCTTGAGGGCCCTTGTGGGTCTTTAAAGTAATTTATGGCAAGCTAGTTCCTTGTATAACTTTGCTGTGCTTTGCTGATTCGGGTACTTTTGTGCTCATTTTAGGGCCGAGCCCTCCACAATATCCTGTTTCTCTTTCTCTAGCGGCGCCACCTTCGTGTTATTAAACGTCGTATCCCAAACCTTGTCTTCAATCTGTTTCTTTGGCTTCTAGACAAATTCGTAGTTTCTGCTTACACGTAATTATGATCCTACATTTTACGGCCAAATACAATTTTGAGCAATGGAAACAGCTCGACCAATGGTCAACAGCAATATCGTAGCGCGTTCGCACAATACGTGTCTACTCGGTAGGTCCAAGCTGATTCCACCATATTTACTAATACGACATCTCATTTTCGCTCCCATGTTGTCGTTTGTTACCACTCTAACTGCGTCCATTCTCTGCCATTTGGTGTAGTTATTACCTGGTCCATGCCGCGGATACTCTGTCTTTTCTTTTTATTTTATTTAAATACTTACAACCCTTATCAAAAGGAAGAGCTTTGCTTTGCATCCTTGGGAAGGTTGATCAACACGCAGAATCCGACCACTGTATAGTCAACAAACATAGCAACATACATGTGCATGTGCGTGCAGTGTATGTACACGTGCACGATCGACCACGCACTCTCCACATGTACGTACATTTTGGGCATGAGAGTTACTTTTACTGTCAAAACAGTAAGCTAAATGTCTCGAAATTGGAGATTTTGTCAGAAAAAACAGGCATATTTAAGGAGCTCCGAAGGAAAGGACATTGGACCATACCATTATCTAAGGGGTGATAGCAAGATGATATATTCACGTAAGGTAAACTTCCAAAGTTTCATAAAGAAAGCTTAATTTTAAACCAGTCCAAATTCTCCTTTTGCGTGTTAGTTATGGGTATGTATCTATATATTTAATGAGTTTAGGCTTACCGAAGGTGCGTTGGCAGTTTGTATGTTACTCGTCCATATAGACTCTTCCAACGGCTCAAATGCTATACGCACATTTTCCCTGTGCCTGTTCGTCATCTTTGGAAAAACATAAAATTTCTGTTTTCTCGAAAATGACAGCATTTAAAGACGGTAAGACTTTACAGATTGTCTGACATTATTGTGTACTGACTTTACAGTAAGATATTTCAAAGTAATTCGACAGTCGAGTTTTTGAGATCTTGCAAATGCTATACACTTCCTTTAAGAACGGATGCTGCAAAGGACAGTTGTTTTGAAATCATCACCATTTTCTCAAAGAGACAAAGTTCCCCCAAATCGTGATATTTTCCTCATTTTTTCAAAATCAAGTGGACTATGCGATGCCTACAATTTGGTGTAATCATTTACCAAATCTACTCAGATCAGCCGAATCGCGATGGTCTTCAAGGGGTAAACTACAACTAAACCACAATTTTGGTTTTCACGAAGAGACAAATTTGTTTTCCGAAGATAATTAAAGTGTTTAGAGCGATAAAAAGCAAAACAATAGGGAAATTTCTTTTTGCCGTTTTCACGAAGACACAAAAAGTCACACGCATTTTAGCTTTTTCATGAACAGAAAAACGTGTTGTTTACAAAATAAACACTTTTAATTTACTTCTATTTGGTGTGGCTCCATGGGGGCTATGGGGGCTTTAGCAAATGCAAAAAGTAAAAAGAAGAAAAAAAAGAAAAAAGGTTGAAAATATTGGATTCGCAGTGGCGAAAGTTAATTAAAAATGACGTCACGCGGGAAGAGTCTATTCCCTCCCAAAAAATGGCTGTAGAACTGTGCCTGACTGTTTTTTATTACTATTAATTGTAATTTAAGAGCCCTATTCCATGGTGTAGGATTAGTTAAGTCAAAGGAATGATAAATACTGGGGATATGAGCCTTTGAACAGGAGACCAACTTCAAATGCGATTTCATCGAAATTTACGTAATAACTCTCCGATGAGAATTTTGACTCTTTGTGACAACAGTGATGAAATGGTGAATAAAAATCATTCAATAGCCCTGTGACTGATGACGAATCATATACAGTGTTTATACCGCAGTGCATGGTGGGATAGAATGGGTGATTCACGGCCGTCATATATCACGAGTAGGGAAAATGGCAGATGTAATCTGTAGATGTATTACACCTGATCATAAAAAGTGAAAGGTGTAATCTCAATATTTACACTTACAGTTCTGGAAAGAAATTCCCCAGAGAAAGACGAAGGTCACACATACAAGAAATAAAATCTGCCTTTCAGAGAAAAAGAAAACCGTGCTCTTTTGCTTAGTTAGCAGTTTGTGTAGCATTTATGAAGCGATGTCACCCATTCTATCACACCATGCACCGCGGTAAACATTGTCATACCTCAACAACATAAGGCTACTGGAAGGCTTTTTATACGCGTGTTCCGGACCATCGGCGCATGGCCCATTGTGTCCGCAAACACTTTCCGGACAATTACGTCCGCCCCATTGTGTCCGGGGGCCCATTATGTCCGCCCCATTGTGTCCGCAGGCCCATAATGTCCGCCCCATTGTGTCCGCGGGCCCATTATGTCCGCCCCATTGTGTCCGCGGGCCCATTATGTCCGTCCCATTGCGTCCGCATGCCCATTATGTCCGCAAACTCTTTC